CTCATTCTAATAATGAAAATTGTTTGACCTAATTGTCTGATTCATCAAGCATCACAACACGGTGCATATTCTGACAATTTTCTTTTATTATCAATCATAATACCATTTCATGATGCGGTATATACTGGAAATACTGAGACCTTACAGCTTGATTTAGAAGAACCATAATACCACCTAAAATCATTACTAATTTGTGATGCAGCCGCATGGTTTCTTTAATTGCTCACCAGCAGTGGATGTCCCTCCAAGTGTTGGTGATATGGAGCTCAAGGAAAATGAGATTGCAGCAAAGCCTGTCCAGGACGGAATAATTGCTAAGCTCTGAATGGCTTCTTTGTGGGACTTTAGTGCCAGTTATTTTGGTCTATAATTAAGCCATCTTTGTTGCATTATCAGGCAAATGAAGCACTCCAATGCTGTATGGACAAAGTATGATTATTCTTACGTAAGATTGTCACTCCTGTCACCACCGGGGCGGGTGTGATTGTAGACTATGAATGCTGGAAATTAGGCTCTGCTTTTCTTGTTGAAGACTGGGTCAAATTCAGCTTTGATGATCTCTGAACTTTATTACCGTTTGATATTGTTTTCACATTGGTTTTTCCAGCCGCCTTGCACAGGTCTTTTATTTGTGTGTACGTGTGTTTTTTTTTTTAATATTTTTTTTGACATTACTTTTCCTATTTTCACGCCCAAAAAACTTTTACATTTTCTCCAGGCTGTACAAAATGGTCATAATAATTTTTATATGAAAAAATATTAATGTAATTTCAAAAGCACCCATTAATAATCATAATACTTTCTTTAAAAAAAATATAGTTTTATAGTACCTTTCTTTTTTCTTTTTCCTTTTTTTCTTTGGACAATCAGAGCACTAACTCGGCAATTTTAATCTGATTCTCGGCGGAAAAAAAAAATCTGATTCAATTTTACAATATTTTTGGAATTTCAAAACACTTTAAGGAGGCAATGGGTTTGAAGTTATTTAGGACTAAGTTGTAATTTCCTTTAACATGGAGTCTAAGTCTGGTCACTCAGTTATCGACACGAAATTTATTAGCGTCACACCGCTGTCTTCTTCTTGTTGACGTGAAATTTAACAAACAAATCATTTTGTTTTTGAAATTTTTAAAGCAATTTGAGAATTTTTTTAATTAAGAAAAACTAAACTTATAATATGTCATTTGTTTATAAACTAAGAAAACTGAACATTGTGTCTTGTAATTTTATTAATGGTTAAAAATAATATTTTTTTAAATAATTTTTAGGGAAATTTCTTTATATTTGTATGGTACATTTAAAAAATTAATTTTTTTAATAATGGTCTTGACATTTTAATTCTAAATTTAAATTATAAAAAATATTTATTTATAAGTGAATTTAACTATTAGGAGTTAATAAGAAATAATATTAAAGAAAAATGAATTTATATAATTTTATGTATTGCCCTAAATAAAAAATATATATTAATATAAAACTGAACTTTTGAGTCTAATAATTCATCATCAAATTTTAGTACTTTGATTTAGTTGGTTAAACATTCAATTTTCACTAACCACTTAAAAAAACTTTTCATTTTCGTATAATTTCTCATGTTTTTTTTAAAAAAAAGATCAATATAAGTAATATCAAGTTATATTTTTTTATAATTAATATCAAGTTATATTGTGCATTTTGTTATATTTAAAATCATTATAAGTGTATCTTTTTCGTTAAGGTTTTGATGATTAAAAAGACACATTAAGATTTTGGATATCAAATTCAGATATTTTGATGCCAAGAAAAAAAATTCAGATTCTTTGATTGTGCGTCACCAATGACCAGACTTCAAGATAAAAACGAAGCGGCAGAAAGTGAGTGCGTCGTTGCGTGAATCTTCCGGATCGATTCGTACAATCAAAATGTCAAAAAGATGCTTTCTTTCTACATACGTATGTAATAATAATTAAAAAAACAATTAAAATTGGAAAGGGATATCTGGAATAAAAAATTGTCATTATCCATCAATATATAAAAGCAAATTAAAGTCTTATGTTGTGTAATTCAATAAAACAAGAATTATTAAACAAAAAATATAATTTTTAATTTTAAAAAATTATTTTAAATTTAATAATTTATACTATTCAGTTAAAATTATAAACCTTTTTTTTATAAAGATAATGGGACTCAATTATGTACATAAAAAAAATTTATTTTATATTATTTGTAACTGAAGTTTAATTTAAAAGCATTAATTTGTAGTTCTAGTTAGGGGTCGTAGAAAGTTCAAATTGTATAACAGTCATGGCAGGATCATGATTGTCCATCGTGTGGCTTGGGATTCACATGAAACTCACATTATGAATAATCTTGATTTTATCAGGACTATTTGATAGTCTTTATTTTTTGTTTTTTGTTATAATTATTAATATTTTAATTTTTTAAAATAATAAAAAATATAAAAATTAAAAATTAAAATACTAAAAAATATTATCAAATGAAACTTAAAAAAGAAAAAAACATTTAGTCGAAATTTAATTCGGGTTGCAAACAGTACATTTTTTGTTTTGATGAATAAAAGTAGGAAATGACGTTCGTTACTAGTAAAATACCGTTTGTTTTTTTTTTTTTCAGAAGAAAAATTTGAAGTAGCCAGGGAACTTGTAGGATAGTCGATGAGCTGGAATCCTCTGGGATTAGGTGAAGTAAAAGTCAATAGTGGTGGATCGTTTGATGAATTGCAATTAAGGGTGTTGATTTGGTTGAGCGTGATAACAAAACAGTGTGGATTGATGGGAATAATCAGAGTTTTGCAATTCGAAACTACACTCGAAGAATCATTCAATCTGAAAGAGTCAGGGTTATTCTTTTCTTTTAATGGATTTGCATTGTGCAATTTGTAGTCACATGATACATTACTTATTATTAGTTATGTATGAATGTTTTGATTTGATGGTTCAAACTGTAGCCTTGCTATGGGAAGGAGGAATTGGTTAAAATCACAAATGAAATTATTGAGGTCACATAATTTTTATTTTTAAATAATTAATTATGATATTTAAAAATATTATATATAAATAAATTTTAATATGTTAAGTTGACTATTTTATTATTTAAAAGGAATTTAATTTTTTAATTAAAATTTTAAATTCAAATCTTATAAATAAAAAAACAAATACTGAAAAAAAAATTATATAATTTAATATGACTTGATGTCCAATATAATTTTTAAATACTAATGAATTAATACAAAAAATATATATATAGTTTATGTGATGTTGATAATTTGTTGGGTGGCTATAACTATCGTCCATATGAGTTGAAGCTGTTGTTCTTGATAACATGCTTAAATCTTAATCCTATTTTTGAAGTTGACTCCTAGCGTTTATACGAGATTGTTCAAGTTCTAGATGATAAAGCATGTCCACAAGTGTTGTCTTCACTGATAGAAGAGACTAAAGCTATGAGAACCTCTTTTTCTTTTCTTTTTAACCAAATATATTTGTTTCATGGCCAATCAGGCCATAGATTGGGATGCGAAGCAGGGCAGGTTGAATCTGTGTCCATCCGACCAGATCAATCAACTTCCACTATCACTTGTTCATATTCTGGGCAAAAATGGCCTTACCGCCCCACTTGGTGATGTTTGCATTTGATTTTTTTTTTTTTTTTTGACACGAAGCGGGTTCGAAACCCGTCCAGGGGAATGCACCTAACAAGTTGGCTAATGCCAATGTACCTCTAGGCCCAGGTGCGCTTGCATTTGATTTCTAGTTAGTACAATTTTGTAAACAATAATGGTTTCCTTTCTTTTACGCAATAATAAAGTCTACTTTCTTGGCCAAAACAAAGTCCATGAACTTAGTTCTCAATTTCACCATTAGGCATATTTTTAATTTGTCAAAAGACCTAAAAGCTTAAGTATCGTCCTTTCTATTTATCCTCTTTAGATCATACTAGATTTTTTTTTTTTTTTTTTATCACTAGAGTAACATGAATTTTTTAAGATGAGGTGATATTATGATCATGAAACTTTTTTTTTTTTTCCTTTTTCTTTCCTTCTTTCTTAGCCATTCATGTAGATTCATGTCTTTCCTTTTAATTTAACTTTGGACTCGTGCATAACGTACAAGTTTTGGGGCTTAAATAGCCAAAAAAATGTACAATGAAAAAAATTAATAAGAACTAGGTTAACGGATTAATATAAAATTACTGTAAATTTTTATTTTCAAATAACATTTTTTTTTTTTGGGTTTAGGATTTTTCTATCCAACTCCAAGAAAAAAAGTACAAAATCTTTAATAATTATACTGATATTTTTGCAGTCTCTTTCAGGGGTGGGTATGAAAAGCCCCCTTTGTTTTCTTTTAAAAGGTGAAATATAAGACGTCATTTTATTAATGTTTTAAGGTTAATTTAACAAATTATTTATTAATTTTTATATATATTTTTAATTTTATCTATTATCTTTTAATTTTTTTAATTTTACTTATTATCTTTTATATTTCTTTTAATTTTATCTAGTTTATTATCTTTAATGAAAATATCTGTTATCTTTAATAGAAATATCTGTTATTTTTAACAGTATCTTCTTATCGAATAAGAAAATATTTAGTCATTTAACTATATTTCTTTTGATCTTCTAGTCCTTAAATTTATATTCACAATAAAAATAGTTTTTAATCCTATTTTACTAAATGTTTTCTTCAGAAAACTATTTTACAGAGCAGACTATATGTAGTCTATCTTGTAAAATTA